GTGCACCTTGAAGACAGATTTAACAGGTGAGTGTTCTGAACAGGCTGCAGAGAAGTGGCTGCTTTCTGGATCACAGTGGGGGTAAGTTAGGCGTCAGAATGGGTAGAGCTATCAGCTGTACCTGTCCCTGGTATAGGCTCCCAGGATCACCTTGGTCTGTCATGGGACCTTGGCCCTGGGCCCCACTCCATTTCTTCCACGGCTGACTCTTCTCAAGACAGGCATGGGGCAAGGATGTTCACCTTACTCTCACGGGTATCACTCTAAGCAGGTGGAGGCCCTAAACCATTATGCCTCATGCCCTAGCAGCCCCTGACAAGGATGGTGGCAGGCAGCTGGGGAGGTAGAGGTTATGACTCAAATCTACCTTACTGGGTTTGACAGGGGGCTGAAAGAGAAATGACTACCTTGTTATACATGTCCATTGTGACTTTAAACACGGGACCTCAGAAGTTTCTATGGATAGCATGTTTGAGCCAAAGTACTTTCTGGGATGGAGCATCATTACCTAACTCTTGAGGGCTGGCATGTTAAACCCTGCTGCTTTGGCACTCTAAGTTACTCAACCCACATCTAACTTGGCAGTTTTGCTTTTTCCTTGCCACCAAAATCACCTAAAATTACAAACTGCTAAGACTAGTTCTGTCAACTTCTAAAGTTGAAACTTCAGAAACTTCCAGCTTCAGAAGCTTCCAGATAAATGGTGACTTTAAAATGCATGCAACTTGAACTCAGGGCTTCGTGCTGGCTAGGCAGAGACATGCCTCCAGCCCTTGTGCTCTGGGCACACTTCCTGTGATAGCTGGGATGAGAGTCTCGCAAAACTTTTTCCTCAGGCTGGCCTGGAATGGCAATCCTCCAGATCTTAGCCTCCTGTGTAGCTTGGGATGACACACTGCATCCAGTCACTGGTTGAAATGGAGGTCTTGTAAGCCTGGGCTGGCCTCGAACTCTCATTCTCCTGATCCCAATCTCCCAAATTGATAGGATTACTGGCTTGAACCACTGGGTGGATATTTATTTTTGTTCAGTTTTATCTCTAAGACAAAAATAGCCAAATTCTTCCTCTCTGGGATTTGTTGTTGTTGTTGTTGCAGTACTGTGGTTTGAATTCATGATCTACACCTTGAGCCATTCCACCAGCCTTCTTTTTTTGTGTGTGATGAGCTTTTTCAAGATAGGGTCTAATGAACTATTTGCCCTGGCTGGCTTTGAACCATGATCCTCCTCATCTCTACCCGACTAGCTAGGATTGCAGGCGTGAGGCACCAGAGCCTGGTTTCAACTTTTAATGAAGATACTATAAATGTGAGGGATCATAAAAATGTTATGTTGGTGGTTTACCAATCTCTTAGCTGAACGTCATTGAAGTTAAAAAAAAAAAAAAGCTAGATATGCATGCCACAGCATCTTTGTGCAGGTTCATACATTCAGTTACTCAACCACCTTGAAAAGACAGTGCAAAATAAAACCACAAAGTGACAAGAAGTACTTCTAGGCACATGTAGTCCCCCAGAACCTAAGCTGTCTCCTTTTAGTCAAGATTATTCCAAAAGGAACGGTGACGGCCCAGGCCGGACCCTCAGAATAGGCCTTCTATTGATGTATGGGCTTTAATCAAGGAAGTCTACCTATGAAATCCTAAGCCTTGCCAACATGTATGTCATCACATTATTGCTCTCTTAATAATGGCTTGATTTCTGTCCTAAGGTTCAACAATTGACACTAACCATAACAACCCACAGAGAGCTGAAGATCCACTAGATTAGGGAGGCTTGGCTTTGACATCCTATACCACCAGTATGAAAGGCACAGCTGCTCAATCACTTCACACTCAACTGTTTTTGCCAACCTGTGCAGTACATGGACACTGCAGAAGGTTAGTGACGGGGCAGGACTCCACTTCTGATCCCACCCAGCTGCCCTGAGAACTGAGAGCTCTGTCCAAGCACAGCTAGAACTCATGGGGGTACTCCAGCCAGCCAGCGTACCCCATCTCCTTTGGAAGGCTCAAAGCACTATGGAGCTCAGGAACAGACATACCTGATAGAACTCCCTGCAGTCAGAGGTTAGAGGGCTGTTGCAAGCTGATTGTCAAGGCGCCATCCAAGAGCGGATCATGGGGGCCCACCATCTGGTGATTATGACGGAAGAGGCCGAGGGGAAGTGGAAGAATAAAAGGCAGTATTGACAGGATTCAGCAGGACTATACTTACCTGAGTTTTGGAGCTCAAAAACATGTATGATGTTTATCCACTCGACCCTGGTTCCTTGTAGGCTTGAAGAACCACCTTGAGTGAAGGACCATTGGCCACATGTAGCTGAAGGTCTGGAAAATGGGTTCTTTCAGCAAACACTGTTTTGAGAGCCAGACAAACAAGACCCAGGGTCTGGGCTCAAGGAACTCCCCGCCCATGGACTCAAAGCGGACGGTTTCCTAAAAATATAGTAGTTACCACGAAGAAACGCAGTTTGTTTCTCTCCAGTGCTACCCAAGATGGAAAATGGCTGTAACCTAGACTGACTTATTAGGCATTCTTCCAAAATGACATTGAATTGTATTTCTATCCAGGAAAGGCAGAGAAAACAAGCAATTGGAGAACTTGAAAAACACTACTCTAAAGTAATTTGACAAGGCCAAGTTTGTACCTCAGGTACAAAAGCATACGCTTCACTAAAGGGTTAAGTGTCCAATTAAAAAGGGAAAATCTAGAAGTCCTCTAGAGAAATCTAAAACAATCATATACAGTAAGCCCATGCCCTCCATGTGTTCTTTTCTTCTGGTAAAGAAAAAGAAAACGAAGGAATGACCTGACCTGTAACTATAAAGAGGAAGAAAAGCAGTATTAACTCAAAACTGAGTAGCAAGACAAATATGATTCTGTTTGCCAGATAAAATAGGAAATTTCTGTGTCACTTACAAAGGGTCAGTCTACTTGTCACGTAATCCAATTTCTCAAAGTGAATCCTGCTGTCCACATAGAAACATCTCTTTTCTGATTCCCAAGATTGTTTCATAGTAAACTGAATCCCTTTACTGCTTCTTATCCTGACATAAATTACATCTGTATTAATTTAATGCATTTTCTAATGAGAGGGAGATAACCAAAAAAAGTTTCCAAGTGAGATTTTTTTAAGATGCTTGAATAAATCAGAGTTTAATTTTAAATATACCTATACTAATTACAAATGGCTGATTTTTTTTTAAAGGTCATATTGCTTTAACCAGATTCTTTATTTCTGACAGTTTATGGGTCTTCAGGATTGAAAAACCATGTTGCTTCAAGAATGACTGAAATGTAGCACAAGACACTCTGGGCATGGCTGAATGGGTGACACTGAAGGAGTGCTTCGTACAAGATCCCCTCTTAGGATGGTAAGAAACCAAACATGCCAGCAACTGGGCTGGAGTTCAGGGTTTTCTTCCCATTCCCAAGAGCTCTTGTAGAGCAGTCACAAGTCACCTCAGTCTTTTTGAATGTGATTCAGAAAGTGAACTGTCACTTAGGAATCAGTGTTCTTCTGGAACGTAAGGATTTATCTACAGAATGCACCAAAGGCTTCAAAAAATAAATTACAAAACATGGAATGCACTTTTACCCTATGGGAAAAGTTGTGAGATCCAGTGGTGAGATATGGCTGACCCTTTGATTACTAATATTTAAGCGACCTGAGATAGGTAGTGGCAGAATAGCTAATGTAAAAATAAGGAAAAAGCATCTTTGAATCTTAGGAGTCCCTATCAATTCCAGCTTAAATCTGTGTCTGGCAGTGGATGTTTAAAATTGCTACTGGCATTTTAACTTGTAAAAAATCCTAACATCAAAATCTGTAAAACATCACTGCTTCCTCTTAAAGAAATACAACTACATTCACACCAGATGATACAAACCTGTTTTCTTTCATCTTGGACACCCAACTGTATGGGATGTGGAAATATTTCTTTTGTCAAGCAGATAATATTTTATCAATAGCTAGTAAGTTGTTTTTATAAACTGTCTTTCAGCTGAGAAAACAATACACTCCTTTTACATCATATCAGAAAAGGAAATGACCTCAAGATTTCCAAGCAACATGGCTATTTTTCAAATCCGAACTCCCCTGATGACCATTACAGACAGTTCCAAATGTCCCATTCTTGGCTTTCATTTGTGCCACACCCTGACAAGTATGCCACAAGAACAGTTGTAATTCCAGCATGCCCCTTTCTGCATGGGGTGCTGAACAGTCTGTCCTCCCTTTCTCTTAGCATGTCATCACTCACAGGAGGTTGGCGTCTTTCCTGAAGCAAGCTGTGCTTTTGTTATATTGAAGAAATGAGAGATCCAATTTATTTTGCTTCCACCTCCTATAAGCTACAAGGTATGTAAACGACGCTGCTGTGACTGTACCAGCTGGTCTGTATTTAGAATGCTGTGGTGCATACCCTGTCCTCTTTGCTCACGGTGTGGTATGCATTGAGGCAGGTGACAAATGAGATCCCAAAAGCTCAGTGCTAGATCGATATACTCAAGACCAATACTTTTTGTTGACTGGTAGTTGCAGAATGCATTAAAAAAAAAAAAAGGCTGTGTGTGGTGGCTCATGCCTGTAATCCTAGCTATTCAGGAGGCAGAGATTGGGAGGATAGTGGTTTGAGACCAGCCCGTGCAAAAAGTCTGTGAGACTCCATCTCAATCAATAAAAAGCTGGCCACAGTGGTGCATGCTTGTCAACCCAGCTATGCAGGAAGCATCAACAGGATTATAGTGCAGGCTGGCCTGGCATAAACTCAAGAGCCTATTTAAAAAACACCCACAGCAAAAATGGCTGGGGCATGATTCAAGTGGTAGTGTGCCTGTCTAGCAGGCGAAGGGCCCAGAGTTCAAATCTCAGCATGGCCAAAATAAACAAGTAGATAGTAATAAATAAAAAGGGGGGTAAAAACTGTCTTATCCAATGTCAATGTAAAGTGATACTATTTTTTGTACCTTGTTCTTACCCAGTTTCCAGTGACATACACGCTGGTGAAGGACAGATTTTTCTCTTTTCATCAAACAGCAGGAAATATTAAAAAGGTAGACTAGAAATAAAACAGAATCCAATACATTTTTAAAATCAGATTTAAGGTTTGTTTTTTTTAATTCAAATTGACCCAAAGCAAAAACTTACATTACAAAGGAAGAACAAAATGTATTATGATATAACACACTGGGAGTTACATGAAAGTTAAATTTGTGGGCAAACAGCCTTATCCCATTCCCATCCTGGGCTAATGAGCAACTCTGCAGGGAAGTTAGAATCTCAATTTCATGTGGTCCACTGTGATCATTAAGCTACATGTTCTGTCTCTTAGGGTGTGCACCTGCCAAGGCAAGGCATGCCGGACTCCCTCCTGCTGCAGATGTGCATGCACTCCCGCCACTGCCACAACACTCAACTCTCTGGCGGAAATGCTGTCCCAGCACGACCGATGACGAATTACAAAGCAAAACAGTCCAGTCCTCCAAACTAACGAGCATGGGTTATTCTGTAGTAAATAGTTTAGAAATATGGAATTAAATAATCTAAAAAAAACAACACTCTTACTCTGCTGTACATTTATAAACACAAATATTTACAAAAAATAACCTTGTTTTCAAAAGATGAGGTTTGCAGTTCATTAATGATCATAATCTTTTATGAGCTGGTTTCTTTGGTGTACTTGCCAAATATATTTTTTAAAAAGATTTAGTAATAGGCTTAAATAATAAATTTCAAAAGAAACATAAGAAGAATCAGTGGTGAAATTCAGTAATATGCTGAACATTTCGGTCGAGATTCTGGAAAAAACCAACAGTTGATTTTCTGAAAATAATATCTGTTCATTATGTTTCATTATGTGAAAACAGAAGGCTTCTCTGCCAATCAAATTCAAGTGCCGACCTGCGTGTTCACCACTGTATCCCACCATTCCCAACTGTGAGACATTTTAGTTACTGTTAAAGACAGTATGTGATTGGAATTTTATTAACAGCAAACATAAAACATTCCTTCTAAGCTTCCAGATAATCAAACCTCAAACAATAAATAATGGAATTATACACATCTTCATTAAATAGAAATCTCAATTCCAGGAAGAGCTCTCATAATTTTTTTTTTTTCTGAAGTCACAGCAGCAATATAGAACACAGAATTTACCTTAATTGGATCTTTTTACTTGGAATTCCTTGACTCAAACTCAGTGGCTAACTTAGTTTGGATACCTTTGAATGGCTGGGAGGAGAACATTGTTTTACACTGACCGAATAAATTAATACACGCAGACATGGAAATAAATCATGTTCAAATGGTACATTGTATCGCTGCTCAGAGTACAGGACGCAGGCACCCTCCTGCCCCTCACCTCCCTGGGGTGGGGTTTTGGAGAAGTGACACACAAGTCAACTGGTCACACCACGTCCTGGATGCTGCTGATTGTCTCAGCCCTGACCTGGGTACTGGTTTCAAAACTGAGAACACAGCTCGGCAACTGTCTCCACAAAGGACTCTCTCTGGAGATGACCTTTGGGAAAGGTCAGACCACCCACCTGTTCTTATCCATCAAGCTTCTGCTATAGTTGGGGATGGTCACAAAACTGGCCCCACATTGACTAGTTGGCTACCAGAGTCCATGGGCCACAGGAGCAACTCCCCAAACAACCCTTTTCCTTCTGAAGCTGCAGATACCTGCGTGCTGCCGAGGTACAAGCAGACTGGACACTGATGCCAGGGCCACACCGCAGCCAAGAAAACAAACTTTGTGCTTGAGAAAATAGCACTGCTGGCTTGGAAAAGATAAAGCCAGAGCAGACTCCTAATTCTGCTTTGTTACACTTTTAGATGGGAGAGTTTTACATTCTATGACTTAAAATTAGCAGTTCAGACAAGAGAAGCCCTTTCATCTTGTAAACTTCTGATAACAAATTTATGAACAGCATGTAAATATTTTAGTTTCCTCCAGCACTAAGAATTAAACTAGGGCATTTGAAAAGGTACTTCTGAAACTAACACAGTGACAAATGAAGCACTCAGCACATTTCCAAGGGCATCATCCCGGATGCCTAGGGCTTAGGGGACCTTTACCTTTGCTACTGACACTTTATCGTGTGTTTATATGGCACGTATTTGCCCAACCAGCCCAGAAAATAAAATAATTGTCCCGAAGAGCTTCACTGTACCTAACCTTAAAGTAGAGAGGAAATATTTAATTAGCATATTAGGAATTAGCCAGACTTACAAATGTGCACCCATTAGAGATTTTACCCTTTATATATATATATATATGTGTATATATACATATATATATATATATATATATACACACACATATATGTATGTATATATTACCAGGAAGAAAAAAAAAAGAAAACACCATGAAACCACCTCAAATTATTTAACCATGAAAGCCAAATGATTTAACAATACTTTGGGCTATTTTTAGAGAACAATCTACCACCAGAATATAACATTTGCTGCTTAAAGTGAAACAAGACAAAGCTAAAAATGAGATTGTGAGCGACACGCTACGGATCTGCAGTGGAAATTAAAGTGGCGTTTCTGGTTCTCACGGGCATGTCAGAGCTGGCTGGGACACTGAACAGCCAAAGAAATCATGGAGAGAATACACCAGAAAAAGTATTGCACAGGAGGCACTGTTTTAAAAACAAAACACACTGGCTTTATAAAGTTACTTTCTTTCCCATTAATTTTTTTTTTTTAAAAGCACAATTCAACTAGAGACAGAAGTCGAGACACAGTATCTCAGGGTAGTGTCTTACAGTTGTTAAAAAAATAAGTTAAAAACAAGAGCACACCAGAAGGAAAGCAGAGGTTCTGGGTTTCCTGTTATCTGAAAGCTACGTGAATTAGGGCAAAAAAAGGAAAAAAACCAAAAACCAAAAAAGTTTGAAACAGCCAATTTGTCCTCATTGAAAATGAATGAAATGACCGCGTTACTAGAGATTCCTTCCTAGGGCATTTTGCAGTGTAACCGAGGACCCCTGGGTGGAACTGCTGTCTCCGAGCTTTAGTAAGTGTTCTGCTGGTTTCCAGTACCAGGCTCCTCGGTGAAACCGTAAACTTGAAAGGGTAAATTCTCCACTCCAAACCTGCTTGTGTCATTTAAGAAAAACTTTTTTTCTAAATGCGATATTGTATAGAAAGCTTGGACCTCTTAAACTTGGACCAAGAAACCAAATTAAGACCTTCAAGCATGTGGTGTGTGTGTGTGTTTATATATATATGTGTGTGTGTGTATATATATATAAATATATACACACACACACATATATATATATATGTATATATATATATATATATATATGTATATAAAAGTCCCTCCCCTACAATGAAAACCAACCAAACAAAAAACCCAAAAGTGTATACCTGCTTTCTGACTTCACATCGAATCAGAAATTGCATAGGCTATACTTTGTGCAAGGCAAAAAGCCTTTTAAGAATCTGGAATATAACTCCTAATCTTGCTCCCAGTTCTGGCATTTCAGATATCATCAAATTTGTGTTTTAAGTAGTCTTTCATGACCTTGGCAATTGGTAATTCATCAAGCAGCTTCAGGTTTTGAAGGCCTATACACTGTCGAATTTTAATTCGGCACAGGTCCTGCAAGTTTCTGGGCTGTCCTAAAAAGACAGAGAAAAGAAAATGTTACAAAGCTGCAGAGTGCAATGTTTACGACAGGCTTTGAAGTTAGTTATTTCTCTGGGAGGTGCACTGCACTAGTCTATGGTCTTGACTGACCGAAGTGCCTTTGGTACTGTCATACACAGACTCATCTGGTCCTTTTCTCAATCCTTTGGAACAGGGTAGATACTTCCATCTCATTTTACTTCTGAGGACACTCAGGATTGAACACTTAAGTGCCTGATGTCAGACCACATAAGGCTTCGGCTTAGACTGAGACTAAAACCAGTACTTCTGACTCCAAGTTTGGGATTCCTTTTGCTACAAATCAAGAGACTGTCCTGACAAGGATTCTAATATGAAAGTGAGCCTCTGAGCAAATTGTTTCTTTGGGCCTCAGTTTCTCCACCCAAAAAAACATGGACTGATGGGATGCTCTTCTCCTATGGGCCCTGTCAGCCCTGGATCTAAGACATGACAGCCTGGATGCCTATCAAAATCTCCAGGCAGCTTTGCAAACAACATCTTGTCAGTCTGGACAGAGCAGAATGTGGGGTGTGAGGATGAGGGTGACAGGTACAGCAGGGAGGGGGTTTGCAAAGGCACCTCAGGCTAGTCAGAAGCGTCACATCCCACATGCTAACCACTGGCCAGTAACCCTGCTATGGCTCAACTCAAATAAGAAGTGATAAAATCCAACTTCCTTCACTTCTGAGATGCCATGTTTATACCAAAACAACACAGATGACTGCACAGAAAAACTCTTTGACAATGCTTCAATAGTGTTTGCAGTCACATATATCTTGCTTTTCTATTAAATGGTAAAAATAATAAAAAAAAACCCTACCACATATTGAATGCTTACTCTGTGCTAAGCTCCTAACATATATTAACTCCTTTAATCCTTTTATGAGGGAAGTACTTTGATCATCATCCCTGTTTTACTGACAGTCTCAGAGAGATTAAGTAACATACTTCAAAAGTCAAGTACATGCCATATTTTCAGTGTCTCTCAAACTTTTTGCTTCCCAAATCCCTTTATGCTTTTAAGAATGATTGAGGACCCAAAAGAATTTGATGTGGGCTATGTCTATGGGAAATTACCATATCAGAAGTTAAAACAAATTTTTATTTGTTTAAAGTAACAACAAAACCAAACCCATTGCATGTTAAAGTATTACATGTTAACATAAATTTGAAAATTTACTTTCCAAAACAAACCCCAAAATGGAGAGAGGAACGGCATTCTCTAACATTTTTGCAATGTTTTCTAAAATCTAGTTTGAGAGATGATAGCTGAATTTTCATATACGCTTCTGCAGTCAAGTCTGTTGAAATAAAAATCACATCATCTATTCTCTGGAAAAATTCTACCTGCCCTCAGGAGAGAAGAATGTGAAAAAGGGAAATAATGTCTTAGTATTACTATAAACATCATTTTGAACTCACAGATACCCTAGAAATAGTAGGGGACCTCTCAGGCTACTCAGGCCATACTTGGAGAACCATTGTTCTTGGAACTTTGTCCCTTGCTTGAATTGTTCTTATTTAGTTACTATTTTTCAAAATTAAGTAATTTTTCATAAGTCAAAAAGGATCTGTAAGACTTAGATCTAGTGGGCTATGGTTCAACCCCCAGTACCACAAAAAACAAAAACAAAACTAACACTGCTTTTCAAGACAGTGCTTAACATGAGCTCTCTTAAAGTCACAGTAAAGTGACTACTTTCTTGGAAATGCCTGTTAACTAGGGGTGTGCATTTGTACCCATGGATGCCTGCAGAAGGACCCATGTGTGGATATGACACACACTCAAGTGTCTCTGGTCAAGGCTGTATCTCCTCCATTTTCAGGTATCTGCTAAAACAGCACTTTCTCAGAGAAGACCACATCAGGCTCTCTGTCACATATTCTCAGAGTGCCCTTCCTTTATTTGCTTAGCAAGGTGGTGATGTCCTATTTACATATGTGGTGTTTCTGTATGAATACCCATCTTCCTCACTGTGTGACATGATCCACAAGGGCAGGGCTGCATCTGAATCCCTGGCCAACACAAACCTAACACCTGACACAGTGCTCAACAAATATCAGTTGAACAAATGAGTACTTAATAAGCTTGCCCTGAAAGTATAAAAGCACACCCATGTCAACACAAGTCACTTCTTAATCTGTTTTGAATTATTGTTCGTCACCATTCATGGGTTACCTTTAGGAAGAGAATAATTATCATTTTCCAATAAATGCCTGATGTGCAAATGCAAACCAGAATATGAATGAGATGTGAACCTTCTCATTTTAAGAATCTGATTTGCCTAATCCATGGCAGGTTCTTTTCAAGCATAATTTTATGAAAAGAACCACCACAAAAGACAGATGAGGATAAAACTGCCATACATACAGTACAGAGGCATACTTAAATGAAAACATATTATCAACGAAGCGGTAAGAAGTAAATTACTGAATTTGCTTACCTAAGGTAGAAAAGGGATTGAGAGAAAAGGTCATATACCGGGGTATCTTCTGAGCACCCTGTTTGTGGCAGACAGTCCTCTCTCTCCAAAGAAAACCCCACTTATCTCCTAGCCCTCACGCTTCTTGCAAAGCATTAAAAGACTGGCAAGGGCACATGTAAAGATAAGATACTCCTATCATTAGTATTTAATGACTTCTTTCATTTAATAGTTTAAGACAATAGTCAAGTTATTTTCATTCTCTGCTCCATGCAGTGTTTTCTGGAGCAATCTGATGGGGCCCTCTGCACTTGCAAAATGGCTCACTCAGATCACGGCAGCTGGCTGGGCGCTCAGCCAGGACTGTCCAGGTCTAAATATATTGGAACACTTTACTCAATGGACATCCTGGGCCTAAATAAACTGGAATGCTTTGTTCAATTTGTGACCGATTTTTCTTCTCCTTAAATAGTGTGCTATGGCATCTTCTAATATTTTGGAAGACTCTGATCTCTTAAAAGATTTCTTGGCCATATGTGACTCCCGTCTGCAGAATCACCTTTAATGATGGAGATATATATCAGAATGGTTAAAAATCACCGACCCTGGAGCCATACTGCCTGGGTTTGGCGGCTGGCCCCACCACTGACAGTTTGTATGACCTTGGCCAAAGTGTTTAGCCTCCTGCCTTAGTTTCCTCCTATTAACAGTAACCACCTCAAAGATTTTATAAGCAATAAAAATGTTAATTTTGGCAAAGTACTGAGAAGAGTGCCAAGCAAGCACGCAAGCAAGCAAGAAGTATTTGGTAAATAAATTAAAAAATATTGCTAAATATTTGTGAGGATGATGTTTGTTTCATGTTCCCAGAAAAGAAGAAGGCCCCTTCCTTGGAAGGCTGTCTTCATCTTCTTGATGGAAAGGAAGAATACTAGTTGACAGATAAGGAGCAAGTGGTAATCCATTACTAGGAAACAGTCCTGGGCAAACTGATGGAAATCATATTTTGCAAATCACTGAATGATTGGATCGGGCAGAGCTGAAGACTTTTAACTATATAAAAACATGTGAAATGAGGAAGTGAGGAATGTAATTATAGGTTCTCCATTTACATAGAGATATGAACTCATCCTGCCATATATCAGCATTATTGAATTAACAGTAGGCTAAACAGTAAAGAGTAATAAGGACTACCCGTAATTACTGTTATTCCTCAGATGATGTCAGGAGTCTTTTTCATGGATGGCATTTTAGGACTAGATGATTATAATTAAGAGAAGTACTTTTCTTTCTTTCTTTTTTTTTTTTAAGACAGGGTCTTACTATGTGGCCTAGGCTGGCCTTGAACTTGTGATTCTTCTGACTCTGTTTCCTCAGTGCTAGGATTACTGGCTTGTGCCATCACAACTGACTTAAAAGAGAACTATTATTTTATCAACAAACTACTAAAGTATTCAGTGATCACCTACTACATACTCAACAATGAAGGGGCAAGGGAACAGAAGGCAGAGAGAGAATGAAGGGCAAGAAAGCAAAAAAACCAAAAAACAAAAACCCAACACTAACATGCTGTCTACAGGCGTCTCACAAAACTAACTCTTACCCTGTTAAGTAACGAATGCCTGGTCCATGGGGTTCCACCAGAGGAAATGTGGAGACACCTCACCTCCCAAAAGAGTGTAATTTAAGGAATTATAAGCACTTTGGGGGATGCAGAAAACTACAAGGCACTGAGACTAATGAACACAGTGGCATTGCACAACAGTTCAAAGGGCTGTTCATCTCTCCATGTGTGAAGCAGCCCATCATTACTGATAATTGGGCTGGTATAAAATAGGAAATCAGCTTTTGAAGGGTCCAGTTTAGTGTAAATTACAAAACTCAGGCTAGTAGCATGATTTCGAAAATTAAATCTCCTAAACCATCTCCTTTTGACATCACTGCTGCCTCTTTTATGGCAGGACAAATTTACTTATTTGGATTAAAATTATCAGATCCATAAAAATAAAGGAACATTTTTAAACAGCCAAAGTGAGCAGCATGAAAGATTTGTTTGGGGCACAGGGAGGGCTGGAGGTAGAGGGGAGTGGGTGAAGAGAAAAAGAGAAAGATTGAGCCCTCTTTATAGATTGCTTTACCAGATTTGACTGCTGTTCCTCTAAGACCTCTCCACTGTAGGTCAACAGCTGGAGTGGTCTCCCAATACCTCGTTTTATCTCAGCTTCCCATTTTAAGATCTCCTGTGTTTTGAGCTCCCTTTGCTGGGATTTACTATGAAATGTGTTAAGCAAATCTGGCTTTACAGGACAAAAGGCAGTTTCTAGCTCCCCTTAAAATAAAAGTAATGGTATTCTCTTGGAACCTAACTGTACACAATATTAAGTCTTCTGACATTTTTCCCATAAGCAAATGAACTTTGACTTACATCTTAAATTTACACTGAGTCAAACAAAAATCATATGTGGCTTACTAACAAATGACAAGAAATCTATAGATGCCATTAAAAATACTAAGTACTAAAAAGCTCTACAAAAAGTGTATTTCTGCAT